AAGTTAAAAAAGGTTTTAGTAAGTACAGTAAACATACAATTTGTTTGTAAAATTTTCAACGTCCTTCTTCGAAAATCTATGAAATTTGACAAAATGTGTCAAAAGGGTGACGTGAGATGAATAGCGCGTTGAACGTAAAAGCATTCGACTGCAGTATAAACATGCTATGGGTGGTTCCCTTAAAACATACATAAGTGAAAATATTCAATATACATGATGATCAAACTCAAACCTTCTGATTTCTCTCCCTTCTTTGTGAACCACACTCCTAAAAATTAATGTAATGAAGCAAAAGCTATTCCATAAAGATGGGTTAACTTACTGTTCATGTGTTTTTGCGTGTTCTATGAGAGCATAGCTGTTGCAGCACAAAAAGTCACATAGACTGCAAGCAAACTTCGTACTTCCATCAAAGGACAATGCAAGACTTCTTTCCACGTTCAATATAACAACATCATCCTCGTGTTCATGTTTACTGAAAAATTATTTTATTAGTTACTCCAACATGGCGCTATAGCAATCTTTGTTGCGTAATGTCTGAAGCCACCCACTAAGCATCAGTCGCTTCCTGGACATAGTTCTCATCCCTCCAATGTAAAGCCAGAACATGGCAAATTCGCTGGAAAGACTCCTTCATCTTGCTGCACACTGGAATCTGCTGACCGCAGACGCGACATGGATCAGGATAGTTACTACAATAGATATGAAATTTTAATGTGATCTAGTCATTTAGTAAGGTAGAACGTACCCCTCATCTCGCATCAGCTCCTCGTGTAACTTTGCATGATGAATGATTGCACGCGAACTGTCAGTCTTGAAATTGCAGATGGCGCAGTGAAGACTGCTTTTACCTATACTGATGAGTAAAATCCCTTGATTTTAGAAGGAGTTGACTCTTGGTAAGCATTTTACATAAAAAGACCAAGTTGGACAAAAAAGAAAAGTTGCCTACCATTTTTTCGAGATGTATCAGCACTGCCGACTATGTCTATGTATGGAAACTCACGCACATTAGCGAAGTGATATCTGAAACTTTTTCAAACATAGTTATAGTGGAGAGTTACTTCTTGCCTCAAATTACCTTGATCTGAGCCACGTTACTGCAGGTTCGCTATGCAGATGCATGTGCAGAACGTGTAGAAACCTCGATATATTTTCCGAGTAATTGTTACTCAATGGGATAACTCTTGAACAGAATCTAAAAGAAGTGGTAACGGAGACTTGAATCAAAGAAAGCTTGTTATAATCTGGAATCAAACACACTCACTCGCAATGTCGTTTCCCAATCTTCTTCGCTACATTGACTGATGTTGTTTCTAACGATGTTTCTTGCGGATCTACAGGTGTA